TTCTAATTCTGTGAATATTTTTATTCTGTTTGATACCTTTTATATTCCTCCGATACATTTCTTAATTTAATTTCTTGAACAGGAAACAGCTTCGAGTATTCTAATACTCGAAACAGATAATCTCATGTTGATGAATAGGTACCAGAAAAGGTCGAAAATAAGATTGACGAGGAATATTAGCGAGAAAAGTCTGAAGTACTGGAAACCAATATTCCTTCTAATTTCAAAGCTTTTATTGATCTTTTTGAGTATGAATACAAGTAAAATAAGTGTGTCAGAAATGCTTTCTCGAATAAGAGATACGGGTAGAATGAAAAAAACGTTCCGCTTTTACAAGCGATATTTTGTTTTGAAAGGAAGACTTTGAAAAAAATTGGATTCATTGTGTTTTCAAATAGAATGAAGATTTTTGTATTTGCTTAAATTCAAATGATAATTAACGACAATCTGGGTATACTGCAACGACAGTAGGAGTAGAAATAACTTGTTAACATAAGAAACCTTTATCTAAACTGATGCTTTATTTTTAGTTACGAACAAATGCACACATTACTCTCTTTAATTTGTGTAAAGTGACAGTATGAGTGGAATGTTCAACGTTAATCTGAGTATAACATTTATTTGTGCATAGCGTTCAATGAAACTCTCATTAGGGAAAAAAAACTCTAAACATCAGAAAACTTCATATAAGCTGATATTTTATTTTTAATAATGAATAAATGCAAACATTTCGCTCTTCAGTTTATATATAGCTCCTGAATATAGTCAGCAACGTTAAAATGTAATAACTCGGTCAGTTTTTCTCGTTGGGGAAACAAATCCTTTGTATTTACTGGACTTTGATAGTGACCATAAAATTTTCCTGAATATTAGCATAGGGACAGAGATCAGACCTCCTAAAAGTGAGATTTCTTAATTTTTACATTTTTTTTTTAAATTTGAAAGTATGTTAAAACACAAATATTTGCATTTTTTAAAAGAATTTTTGTTACTGAAAATATATGTCTAAAAATAAATGCCGGATAATTACTTTTATGGACACTGTGTACATAGCTCCCGTGTGTTTTGCAATGATCAACTCAACTTATATATGTGGGTTCTTTAGTTTCGAAATCACAATTCATGTTCAAACAAAACAGATTTAATAAAATATTAATACATCTATAATATAGTTCATCTATTAATACAACATCTATATCATCTTACATCTATAAATACAACATCTATATCATCTTACATCTCCTCTCATAAAACAAAGTGGCGAGAGTTCTATCAATTTCACTCGTGCAGTCAACAGCTAAAATTTAGACAGCGCGTGAGGAAAAATATTAAGCTATGGATTTAAAATCCCACATTCGGCCTTCCTGCTATGCGTCGACCTCGACGACATTATTCTACTCTTGATATCATCAATCACTGGTCATCTTACATCATCGTTGTCTTCGGTAAAAGAACCATCATCATCAATAAGTCCGAAAACCTGAAAAGAAATACGAAGGGAGAGGGGAAGATTGTCGTGCTAAGGACAAAATTGAAAGGAAACATCTTAATTGTCCTTCATCTTTGCAACAATAACATCGTCAACAGTCCCTTCTATTTTTCAGAAATCTTCATATCTAAATCGAAAAAATATCTTCAATCTTTAACATTTTTGGAAAACGTTTATTTCATCTTTAAAAATAACATTAACTGAAATAAAAAAGTCATTATTAGATGAAAAATCACAGTTCGATTATCAGTTGTATCACTCCAGGTTTAAATGTCCATAATCAGTATTATTTTATACATCTTCTGCTTAAGTCCACTGTTTTATATATTCAGCGCATGTACTTGTTTTAGTGGGTCCTTCATGATGTCCTTCTTTTACAACATCATAAGACTCATTATTCTTTATTTGGACAATCTTAGACAAGCCTAAATGCTTTGATTTTAACTTAATGTTTGGTCCAAATTGCGTTCTTTTGATTGCTACTAAATCATTACTTTCAAAACATTTTGAAGAACATCCTCGAAAGTTATATGTATTATATGTTTTCTTTCTGTACCTTAAATATTTGTTTCTTCACATTTTCGGAGTGCTTCTTGGTAAGTTTGAAAACTTTTTTGAATTTCTGCGCCAATTATTTCTTTAATGCTTTCTTTTTCAGCAGCATAATCAGTATCTGCTTGAAAATTAGAAGCATTCTGTTTGCTTACTCCAGATATAAAATTAACAGCTGATATTGCTTTAGGAAATCTTCTTTTTGGGACAGAAAGTTCTTCAAGGGAAGATTTACGCCTTTTATATAACCTTGTCTTAGGTTTAGTTGATTTGTAAATTGAAGTCACACTACATGGTGTTGGAACAGCAGCAGCATCCCACAGGTCTCCATAATGTTCCCAATCATTAGCATTAAGAATTTCTCGTAGCTGATGAAATTTTTCATCAGTCATACACATATTTCTTTCCAGTTCTGCTTGTTTGTCAGATAATCTCTTCTTCATCATTTTTCTCATGCGATCTTCTTCTAAAGCTAGCATTTCTTGCATTTTCAATTTAACATGTTGAACTTCTTTTTCTTTCTCAGACAGGATTTTATTTTTGGGTTTTATCTGAAATTTTGTAGCTTCTGCATCTGATAGTTGTTTCTGTAATATTTCTACAGTCTGTTCTGATACGGAAACTTTTCTTTCCAAAGATCTAACTTGTTGTTCAGGAGCATCCAAATCCATTTGCAAAATAGATTTTTCCTGCTTTAGCTGTTCTTTACCGATAATTGATAAACCTCTAAGTCTTAAAGAAATAGATTGGTCATCTTTTAAAATAACATGCGTTTCGGTATTAGTAGATTTGCTTTTGACTTGTGTTCCCTTAACCTTTTCAAACATACCAGGATCCAGTTCTTTAGCTGGAAATTTAACTTGCTTGCTCTTTCTTACTGTTGATATTCCTGTTTCACCAGAATTATCTTCAACCAGTTTCTTAAATTCTGAATTCTTTTTTTTCCTAGAACTCTTTGGTTCTGAAGTGGGGTTTTTGGAATCATTAATTTTTTCATTACTCTCTTTGATTTTCTGATTTCTGAACCTTCTTAGGTGGAATTTTTCTTCTTCCTTTAGGAATGGAATTCTTCCTTTCCTCTACATTTTGCAATTTTCCTTTTCCATGTTTAACAGCATTTTTTTCTTCCCGAGACTCCTCTTCCTTTAATTCGTCTTCAACTACATCTGTTTCTTCTATAGGGTTTTCAGTTTTATTAGGAATATGATTTTCAATTAAGTGTTTTACTTTGGACTTAACATACTTTATTAATATCCAAACTATTATCTAACTCATTTTCTTGATCAATACTTATATACATTAAACTCAATTCAGTTTTATCTTCTACTTTCATAGATATCCCGCTCTTGTTTATAATGATTTCCACTTTCGAAAGCAATTTATTGCCAATAACAGCATTTTCTTGCATTGTTCCTTGAGGCTTTTACAACATATTATCTATCGATACAATTTTATGCATATCATTTAACTGCTTCTTTACAAATATATGATTCACTCTGGCCAGATATTTTATATTCGTCTTATTTTTTATACATTCTGCGGCTACGTGTCCAAATAAATCTGCGTATAACATTTATTTGTGCATAGCGTTCAATGGATTTAAAATGGTTCAATGGATTTAAAATTTCTATGGATTTAAAATCCGACACATATATAAAGAAAAGTTTAGTAATTTTAAGTTAAACTAATAAATTGTTGAAGTCGCGCAGTATGCAGCGAATTTAATTAAATAATCAAGAGATAATAATTAAATCACAAACTAAATCAAGACGAGGGTCACCGTCTAATCGGAAGTATACATATCAAAATTGAAACAAAAACAGTTCTATTAAAATGAAACAAAAAGCACATAGTGAAATATAATTAACACAACATAATAAAATTAATATAAAAGTGTTGTTTAAAATTTGTTGGTCCTTTTATATATCTGAGTCCACCAGCGGCCGAGCGGTAAAGTCGCTGAACACTGGTGGTTCGAATCCCGAGAACGGGCTGGCTGCATGGGTTTTTTCGTGATTTTCCCCATGTGTAACGTGTGTACGAGCCAGTTTCCCTTAGAAAGTCCTCCACGAAGGCATCCTTTCCCTTAGGCAGATAGCCCTCGAGGCTTTGCCGTAATTAAATAACCTAACCTAACCTAACCTTTTATATATCTAGTGCCCATCGCCCAACTCACTGATTAATAAAATCAGCCGTTTACTACATTCATATTTTCAGTACCTATACAAACACATCCTAATCGATAGAAAAACCGCCGTTTATAAAACGCAGAAATTTTTCTGCTCCTTGTTCCTTGTGCCTGTCAGGAACTGCCTTACTATTTTAGAAATTATGCTTCACTGTTTCAGAAACACTGTTTTGAAAATTGGCCTTATCTAAAGCACGGTTTCTTAAACTGTGCTTCGCGACCACAATTGGGGTCGTGGGACTTGCAGTAGGGGGTCGTCAAAATTTAGCAATTTTTTATATTTTTTTAACTTATAATAATTTTATAGTTACCAAATATCTTTACATTATGTATCTGCAAATAGATAAGGATAAGACAATACAGACAAAGAAAAAACGAAAACGTTTCCACGCATTTTTATTTTATTTTATTTATTTATTTATTTTTTTTTTATAAATGAAACTTTTATTGTACTTTAAAAATTAAAGTCAATGACCTAAAACTGCAAGAGTAAATTACAGTACAAGTGAAGAACCTGACAGTTTCACTCACGCGTGTGTCGGGTTTCGCAATGCTTATGGGGCCCCACAAAATTTTCGTAAATATTAGGGGGGGGCCCGCACCAAAACGTTTAAGAAACCTTGATTTAAAAGATGCCTCAGAGGAACTTCAAGTTATAGTTAATGATTTAGACATTAGTGAGAAATTTAGAATATGTGTCAATTGCTTATAATATTCAGACAATATAGAAAAATGATAGTAAAGTATAAAAATTTGACTATGATATTTTAGAATGTGTTACAAGAACTGCAAGAACTGACAGTGAAAGTGATGCTGAAGAAATTAATGATGTGCTACTGAGCTAAAAAGTGCTGATTAAAAGATTTACATCCAGTTTTACGAACTTGAGACTACAAATGAAAAACTGTTGATAAATAATACGAAAAAAAGGTCAACATTTATTCAGGTATGTAATTTGAAATATATTTTTATAAAACTTTTTAAAAATAAACTTGAAAATTACATATATAATTTAATTTTAGGATTAATTTTTAATTTTAATTTTAGAAATTATAATTTTTGGATTAGTAATTTTCTTATAATCTTTCTAGGTCATTTTAAAATTGGTATCACAATTTTCAATAAACATATCGTCGACTATTAAACTCAGCCGTTTAGTAAACTCAAATATGCTTGAAATGGAAGTGATTTTGATAAACGGCAGGTGCTGTATAAAGACACAGAGGGCATTCAGTTATGATATCGAGGTACCGCAAGTAATACCGAGTATTACTGTAGGAAATTGCTACGACTCTTTGTACGCTGGCCTGTTGGTAGCCGAGCAGTAGAACTGCCACCTACTAATAGCTGTAATTTTTTTTAAATCTTAATAGGCTTTAGTAAAGTTTTGAAGAACTCTTTGTTCTGTAAGACTTTCTTTAGATAAGTTAGAAAGCAGTCGGCTACAAGTCAGAGACTTTTCTTAATAAATACTTCAATGAAGAGTTTTATATATATTTAATATATAACTACTTTGTTGATGTGTGTGGGTTATAAATAATCAACAACAGTAATGTTCTGTCATGTAGATGATTAATGGTCCACATAAGTTATGCAAAGGGTAAGGCTTTAAGTACTCGTCTTTCATCATTGCCTGAAAATGAAGAACAATATTTGCATTTATTAAAGCAGAAAATTTTATGTGCCCTTGCTGGATTCGAATCACTGTTCTTTCACTTATTAGGTGGACGTTTTAGACTCTTACTTTATGACAGCATGCACGGAAGAATACTTAAATTACTTACAAATGACCCAGGAGTTTACTACAAATATACTGCTTATTGACAATTAAAATGATCTATAAATATGACATTCTACTTAGTATAAATGTGACCTTTCATTATATCATGTGATAACAGCAGAAGATTATTCACTTGTTAAAATGTAAGCAGATTGGTTTTTATCATATCACTTGAATGTCTTGATTGTTTCCAAACGTAGTTATCTTTCCGTGGGAGATAAACATTTAGATAAGAAATACTGTTAAATACATCTAATCCTTAATATATTCATAGGTCGGAACAAGGAGAAATATTTCTCTTTCTGACACTCTAAAATGTTATCTATTTCGTGTAGTTCAAGAATGTACAGATATACATAAGAAAGTTACGGTACTAACTTTTTAATCAGATCTAACGGAACAGAAGGAATTTTAAGAGTCATAACGAAATAACTTTTGGGGTAGTCATGTAGAAAAGAAAAAAAATGGAAATAAGTTTAAGAGCTTCAGAATGATAACTGTGAAAAATGTTAAGGAAATCTAAAAGCAATCAACTTAATTATTAATCAATGAAGCACTTAGTTGTACCAGTATACAGTAAGAAGGAGATAATTATTAGCAGTAATCTTTTTGAATTTTTAGCGACAGACTGATTTAAACCACATTTAATAATGCACTAACATTTCAGTTCCGTTGATTTATGAGATACACTGGGAACTTTCAACTCACAGATACTCTACTGATTTTTAAAAGGTAGTACAATGTTAGAGACAAGCATCATCAAATACTGGAAACACTGTACCTGGAGACTCAGTCCAGACAGCAATGAAGAAAACTTATATTTAAACGGATTTTCCTATTCAATTCATAACCACCACCGATTAAGATATCAATCATGCGTTACCCATAAATAAGTGTTGTCCTGTATCATTAAGATTGAATACGCACCTACTCACACAAGGTTAGATAGAAGTAACACCTTTTTTACATGATCTGGTAATCTAAACGAAAACTTTCATTATGGGATCAGAATTATAGATGTTTTAGAGAAAATCATAAACGGATTATAACGAAATCTGTCATATAAAATTTTTGGGTGACACGTTCAAAATGCTCTCCCGAATAAGACTACACTAATAAAAAAATTATTACTTCCTCCGAAACCTCTGTAAAATTAAATGCGATGCGAATTAGTGCATGTCAGACAAATGAGAAGTAGTATGGGAGAAAAACTAAGCTGCACATTTGGTTATTCCGTCTTCCGAAAGGTGACCAGTAGTATCCGAGTAGATACGCTAGCTCAGTGGTTTCAAATTGGCTACCTAAGAGCCAAAAGTCATCCTCGAAACAATTTCATGCTGCCTGCGATTGCAATTTAATTACATATTTGATTCAAATACGGTGTTGCAAAGATTTGAAAATTGTAATTATTTAAAGTCCGAGTTTACCAAAAAAAATCTATAAATTGAGCGAATTAATTTGCAATGTGACATAAAATTTATTCAAAGATTTGAAGATTCAGGTTTAATTAACGTCGTAATTGTAAAAAAAGTATTATTCGTAGTCCTAAAAAATTAAGTATGCTCAGTTATGAAATTTGGAATTAAGAATAATAATAGCTTTGTTTGCGAATACATTTATATTTGAACAGCTTTTTTTTTTGACAGTTCAAAATAAGACCCAAAATAAGAAAAAAAAATCGAATGACGAATCAGCATTTACAGCATGTGCAAAAATTAAGGACGAGACTTTTTTTTAATATAACTTTGTACAAAAGCTTTCCAAATCAACACATTTAATACCGTAAGATCCCCAATACGTAAGGACACGAGTAATGTAAGCAACACTTACTAAAAGAGAAATCAGAGAGATAAAAAGAAGTTTTATTGAAAAAGTAGCATGGAGCGCAATGCGACTGAAGGCCGAAACATCCCTGTGATGGGTGTCCAGCAAGAAACATCCGGTCTTTAATAGGGGATATGATCTTCCCTGACTGCTAGGCAGGTTTCACAGCGTCTGCCCATGCTGAGAATGAGGGTGTCAATGAGTTGTTGAGGCATTGCTGCCCATTCGTCTTGCAGCGCCAATCGAAGCTCCGGAATCGTTACTGGTGGTAAGATACGAGCTGCCAAGCGTCTGCCAAGAAAATCCCATACATGCTCGATGGGATTGAGATCCGGAGATCGTGCCGGCCAATCCATACGTTCAATATCCTCACTCTCTAAGAGCTGTTCGGCAGCTACTGTGCGATGACATGGTGCATTGTCGTCCATGAAAAGTAACTGCGGACCCATAGCGCCTCTAAAAAGACGCACATATGGAAGAAGAATCTCGTTACAATAACGGGTCCCGTTGACTGAACCTGCGTCGAAGATGTGAAGGTCTGTACGACTACCAAGCATGATGCCTCCCCAAACGAGAACAACGCCACCTCCATACCTGTCCCTTTCAATGATGTTCGAGGGATGATTGCGGCTTCCCCGCTCTCTCCAGATGAGTATGCGATGAGAATCGCTACTCAGACTGAATCTGCCTCTCATCTGTAAAGAGTACTCGTCCCCATTCATTGTCTCTCCAATTCCGGTGTTCCCGGCAACACAGAGAACGCCTTCTCCGATGGGCAAGCGTTAGAGGTACACACCGTACAGGGCGTCGTGCAAAACAGACCACCACCGTGCAGTCTTCTGGCCACGGTAAAAAACGCGATATCGGTCGTCCAGTCGCCTGTGTCGTGTTGTCTAGCGATTTCTCCCGCTGTCTGCCGCCTGTTTTCTTCTGGCCTGTAAGGCAATATACCGGTCATCTGCGGGTGTGGTTCCTCGTGGACGACCACTACTAAACCCCCGGATAGCTGCTCCCTGTAGTTTGAAAATTGTCTCCAAAGTCGTGATGAAACGATGCTGTGAGCAATTCCGAACTCTGGCAGCCACACTTGTCACACTGCGGCCTTCCTCCAACAAACTCCCAATGATTCGACCTCGGGTAAAAGCATCCAGATGTCGTCTAACAGATTGATTATTCGCCATTTCTCGCTGAGGCAGCAACTCGGTGTGATTTTAACTGCTATACCGGCGTGCAATCTCTTTGCCAGAAATACTGATCTTACACCGACAACATGCTTTATACTACTCAGACACTCCCCCATTACGTCTACCTGCATATCTGCGCATGTGCTACCGTACATCACCTTACTTAATCTCCTGATTGGTCTTTCTGTCCGCTCTGCCTCTTCGTTCAGCTGATATGCTAATTTTTCGACTTCGTCCTTAATTTTTGCACACCAGTGTGTAATTCGTAAGGAAATTAATTTCTAGTAATGTAATAATGTAAGTAATATTTCTCCCGTTCACGGACATTATACAAACAAATTTTTGTATTTACATACAAAATTTATGATTATTTATATTCAAACATACGTATTTTTATTTACGTGTCGAAGAAAAATGCAGTAAATAAGAGAAAGAAACTAAGTTGTCATTATTTATTCTCAAGTTTTGTCTCAGAAAATTTTCATAATTTGTTTATTTTAAGAAAGTTATTTAAGGATAAATTCAATATTACAATTATTTGATATAAATATCAGTCTCAAGTATTAATACTATATTTAACTGTCAGTATTTTGAATTAGAATGTGTAACCAGAAAAAGTGTTTTGCAAGTACTAAACTTAAGATTTCAGATAGAAAATACATATATATTTTTTTTCCTTTTGCATTATTATTGTTTATGTACGTTTTGATAAATACTTAGCAAGGTAAATTTAACATTTAGTTAAAATACTTTCAATCTGTCCATAAAAAATTCTAATTTTGCTAAAAAAATTCTGGCTCTTTGGCTGTTTATAGATAGTTCATTCGGCCTGCATGCAATTTGAGTCTGAAACCGCTACGCTACCTGAATACTAATAATTCGACTCAGACCCCAACTAAAACTCTTTCTTGAAGGGTCTTTTTTTTCTACCTTATGTTACTCAAATACAAACTAGTTGCCGTTAAAGAATGCCTTTCCCCAGAAGTAGAATGAATTTCTTCGAGAAGTAGATGATATTTGAGATTTCTCGGCGGCCGGGGAAAATCTACATAAGTCCGGAGAGTATTAGTTTCTGAGTTGTTTAGTTCAGCGCAATTTCCGAGTACTAAGAGATCTTCGAAGAAGCTTCACCTTTTTAGATGAACTCTGCACTGCGTT